GGGAGTATCATTGCTGAATTTTTGTATCACTGTAACAGTAATATATATATATATATACACTGCTGAATATTTGGTCACAATAGTAATAATAATATGCACTTCTGTTTGATCACAATAACAATATTATATACATTGCCCAGTTTCTGCAGTAAAAAACAAAACAAAAAAAAACGAGCGGTGGTATCATATAAAACAATTCATACATTTTTTCATGTAACAAAATGTGATTTGCATAAAATAAATAGTTTCTTTTTCATAAAATCAGGAAAACGTGTGAATATCCAGCAGCGTCTTTGAAAATGATACTTATAATTCACTTGTCATGAATATAAGTCTGAAGTTACATTTATCAATCGGTTGTATTTATAAGTTTGCAATCCCTCTCCTCCCTGTGACTCAGCGGTAAGCTTGAGGGCTTATAACGAAAAATTCTGGGCTCCTTCCCTGCGGATGGATAATCCTGACAACCAATTATGCAGGTTTGCACTTAAACAAACTTTGCGATATTACTTATTACTAAGTGTTTGTGCAACTCGGAATCACATACTAAGTTGTATGGAATATTAATTTGCAAAGAAATGATTAATAACGCTGTAAGGGAAAAAATAATCATGTGGACAACCTTATGGCCAAACACGCATTTTATATGAAAACCTGCATTACAATCACCTTCTTTGTAATTTTAAAATGGAGATTTCTTGAAAATATACCCTTATTCATAAGAATAAAGTCGCCTTTATTCACGGAGGATATGTGTTCATAGAACATTTTATACAACTTCTAGGTTATTTTTTATGCGTTTTCTTGGCTACTGATTCCTGGGTAGCTAGTAGTAACACACCAAAATAAATTCCTAGTACAAAAATACATATTGTATATTTGTTACTGATCATAACATGTTCGCCTTAAAAACAGGATCGGGTCAGACGCAGTCTAGTGGTCAGCTTACCGGACTGTGAAATATTTACTGTAAAATCGCGTTCTGCACTTTGGGTCTGCGAGTACATTATAAGAGGGACAATGAAATCCCACTATTCGATTAGAATAGCTCAAAAGTCGGCGGTAGGTGCTCATCGCAAGCTGTTTTCCCCACTAATCTTTCAGTTCAAAATTAGAGACGGCTAGCGCAAATAAACTTGTATTGCTTTGCGTTGAATACCCAAAACAAGCAAAAACAACATCCATCATTGTTATCTTAGAGGAACAATACATTACCTGCCTTACTTCTTTCCTGGCCCGGCATGGCCAGGTGGCTAAGGTGCTCGACTCGCAATCTGAGGGTCGCGGGTTCGAATCCCCGTCACACCAAACATGCTCGCCCTTTCAGCCGTGGGGGCGTTATAATGTGACGGTCAATCCCATTATTCGTTGGTAAAAGAATAGCCCAAGAGTTGGCGGTGGGTGGCGATGACTAGCTGCCTTCCCTCTAGTCTTACACTGCTAAATTAGGGACGGCTAGCGCAGATAGCCCTCGTGTAGCTTTGCGCGAAATTCAAAAACAAACACACATACTTCTTTCCATGAAAGGTGTTGGCGGTGTGCGCTTTTTTTTACGATCAGGTTTGGACCTACGCCTTTCTTTCATGCTTTCTAACCCTAGTTTATTAGTTTCTCCATATTTAATGAAGATTATTGTATTTGATTGTGAGGATGTACAACAAAATTTTCCTTCATGCTACGTATTTGGTAACTCATTCATCTTTACGGTCCTATTAACTTGCATTACATTTGCTTCTGGTGGAAAAAACTTACATTTTAGGGGTTTTGGAGTTGTAAGGAAGTGACCATCAAATTGTCTGAAGTTGTTATTAAAAAAACATTTCCAGCTGTTTATTGTTGATTTTTTTTGCAACGTTCAAATTTTAAATGTTAATATGTTTATTAGAAATATTTTGCTCTTTCAGTTTATTATGGTTTTCATTCAAAAAACAAAAAAATACAAACAAAAATATTTAATTTATACATATACAAACTTTATGAGTTGTAAAATTAATATACTTTTTTTCTGACTGGGTAAAATTTTAAGTCTTACGCTATATTAGGGCATAAACAGTGAACAATTGTTATAATATTGTGAGTTTTTGTTTTGTAATTTTTTAATTCATTCTGTGTGTGTGGGGTGGGGGGGGGGGTTCATTCATTCATTCAGTGTAATCTATTTCCTCCAAATACTTGTTTATAGGATGTAATACACCAAATCATCACCTTAAAACTTCCGGCTTTAGGCCTCTGAACGTAAATATTTTACATTTTACGGAGGAAAGTTTATATTTGTTTTTATTGTTTGAAAAGTACTTGTTTCAAATGTAGTTTTCTTTAAAGTTCGGAACTTTATATATATAAAAATACACCTTTCTGTATTTCATCTGCCTGATTCCTTCTCTTGAACAGACTATATACTTTTTTTTTCCAAAAATACTTACACGTATACTTTAGGAGTAAGAAGGTAACTTTTTGAAAGTGTTGTACTACTACGCGCATATCGTGCGGAGTGGTTGGTTCTACAAAGGTTCATAGTGACCTTCCAACAACGTCAACTAAAGTGATGAGAAAGTTGACCTGCGTTGAAACTGGAATGTGAAGTCGATGACCGGTCGCTGCCTTGGGTTTTCAAGGTTAACAGACGAGGATTCTCACGTGTTTCTCAACTGTCTGATAGTAATAACCTAGAGTTTCAACTCTTTCCGTCACTAAAGTTGGACTAACGTTTGTTTTTACTCTGAGCGAAATAGAACCTGAGGCACGTGAAAAGTTTTGCAATTTTTAGTTTTAAATCTATAAATTGCAACAAGCTTACTTAAGAAAACTTCATAACGTTCTGTAAGGGCACATATTTAAATATGCAACAGCTTAAAATTGTTGTGCATTTAAGATCTCGGAAACAGTTTATATCAATGTTTATGTGATACCAATGATATTTAGTATTACATACTTACGATAACATAGTCTACATCTCGTGTTATGTGGTTCCTATAACATCTAATATTACATACTGATGGTAGCTTGGTTTATAGCTCATGTTATGTGATTCTTACCAAATCTGGTATTGCATAATATTTCGAGTTGAAACATCTCCAGAGTGATCTATTTTATTCCATTAACGTATTTGTTATTCCCACGTTTAGGTATTCTCCCTTTTATTAGCTACAGGAGAACTTTGTTGTGGTGTTGAAAATTAATTATCTAGATGGGAGTCATGATTTGTGTGAAAAGAGATAAGTTTTTACAGTTCTAATGCGTTTATTATCACCAAAGTTTAAAGTTTAGTCAGTAATTACTAACAACCTGAAAATTATCCAGTCCAATTATTCGAGATGATGAGTTTTAGTATAACTTGATATGGCGCATACCCAACCATGTGCTCTTCAATTTTAATTCGTATCTCTGTTAGTTCACCGCATATCGCTAGAATTATAAAAGAGACACATCATTGCTAAGTAAACTGTACCACAAATTTCAATTAGTTTCGAAGAGTTTCAAAGATTGATCATATTAAATTACTTTTTGGTAGTTCATAAAAGCGATTAAAAGAAATTAGGCTCTTTTGTCCAGATTGATCGCTAGAAGCGCTAAACTGTAAATTCTCCAATTGGTTTTTAAATACCATTACAGAAAAGCCAAGTTTTGTACAATTTTTTCGACAAAAATTTTGATCGCAAAGTCATTGAAATGTATGCTTCAGGATTAAATAAATCCTAAACATTATATATATAAGTGAAATCAGAAATATTTTCTTGGTCGGTTTTAGTTGGTTTGAACTTTCTCTTTTATGATACCTTTAACTAATAGTGGGCATTATTCTTCAAAAGTTTTTATCGTATATATAAATATAACTATTTCTAAGTAAACGCAGGAAGGGATGATACTTTTTGTAGATTTTAACAATATAATAGCCTAAAATACTTTAAGTGAAGGACTTTGCATCAAAACCTATAAATCATTCATATTCCACCACTGAAAAGGCCTAATAGTATTTCTCTGTTTCACTGTTGGGGACCCGTGATTTGGCAAGACAAGTTCACTGCAAAGTGTCCACAGATCAAAGAAGATATTAGGTCTCTACGCGATTTATGGATTCTTTCTTCTTTTCACTGAAATTGCACTTTTTGGTGAAGAAAAGAAATAATTCTCAAAACTCATACTTATCCAATGTTTGTAAGAATCAAATTTTGATATACAATGGAATGACTCTGTGTTAATCTAAACAGAAAACTTTACTATCCTGTTAGAAAGGGTTAAATGAGAGTTTATTTAGTAACATGCTGTACTTAATACTGGAACACTGAAACAGACAGCTGAGTAGTGTGACACAAGACAAATGCTGAGCAAATCGTCATATCTTTAACAACAGAATGTAGATAATGTAATAACGCGGTAAAGGATGAATTTTAACCACAGAAAGTGGATAAGATAATAGTTTACGTTGATTGGCCTTTAACTACAAAAGTAGATAATATAATAACCCCTTATGGAATTATTTTAGCTAAAGAAAGTGGATAATGTAATGATCCCCTGTGAAATTATTTTTAGTTAAAGAAAGTGGAAAATTCACAAACTCGTAAGAGATTATTTTCAGTTAAATGAAAATTCCCCAGTGTGTCAACGGTAAATTTATAAACCTTTAACGCTACAAAGTCTGGGGTTCCAGGAAGCAGATAGCTCGTTGTGTAGTATTGCTTTAAAACAACAACAAAAGCTGAAAAAAAGTGGTTAATATAATAACCCCTTATGAGATATTTAACTATATTAAGTTTATAATATAATAACCCCATGTGAGGTTTTAACTACAGTAAATTTATAATATAATAACCCCGTATAAGATTATATTTAGCTACAGAAAGCAGATGATATAGTAAATCCGTATAAGGTGGTATTTAACTACAGAAAGTGCATGGGTGTATAATATCCTCATATAAAATTATTTTTAACTAAAAATAGTTGTTATGTAGTAACCCCGTGTGAGATGATTAAGTCCAGAAAGTAGATAGAATAACATTGTACGAGAGATGTATGATAATTATAATATCAGGCATCAACTACATCTGTTCCAGAACGAGTAAAATTTCGTAGTGATTTGCAACCAAAAGTCCCAACCGTTTGTGAATATAGTTAACCACAACCATTAGATGTTTTACACAAGTTCAAATTATGTAGGGTGCATTTTGATGTTCTAAAAAATATATTTTTTGATAATTATAATTACCACATCTATCGCTATCTAAAAGAAATGATTGTATAAACTTAGAAACGATGAAAAGGCATATGAGCAATATGACTCGTCTATTTCGAAATGCAATATATTAATCATGAAATGCAGTTTTTTATTTTAATACAGTAACACTTATGTGTCACAGTGGGAGGGAAACACTGTGGCTTATTTCGGTGTAAACAGCACATATACATGGTCACCTGATATTGAACTCTTTTTTTTTTTTTTCTAGATTCTGGTTTGATATTTGTGTCTGCATTGCTTCATTTTAATTTGTTGTCCCCGTGGGAACGTCCAGGCTGTTAATAATCACGCCTCCATTTCACTGACGTCATTGTGTCGTAAAATAATACTGATTTTCTCAAAATACGAAACTCTGGAGAGCCATAATTTCAAACGAAAGAGAAAATAAGAACATTTCTCAGACTACATGTTCAATATTCGAAATAATTGTAACTCACAACTGTAAGAAACTGGAGAGATGCTTTAAAATGTTTACATTAGGACATTTTATTGATTGTTTTAGTTATATTCACACAACTCCTAGCAAAAGCTGTAGGACTGCTTATAATTATTTACATTGGGTCACTTTATTTACTTTGTACTTACATTAATACATCTCATAAAAGAAGCTGAAGGACTAATTGCAAATCAGGTTATTTAGATTATAATTGATGACAACTAGGTGAAGTTGGATTACTGCTAACAAGATTTGAGTACGTTATATTAAAACGATTTTGGATATGTAAATCAGCAAGTCACGTGAAAACCACTATCCATATAAAGTGGCGGCTGAATGTATCAAAACTACATGTTTACATTGTTGCCCGGCATGGCCAGATAGTTAGGGCGCTCGACTCGAAATCTGAGGGTCGCGGGTTCGAATCCCCGTCCCACCAAACATGCTTGCCCTTTCAGCCCTGGGGCATTATAATGTGACGGTCAATTCCATTATTCGTCGGTAAAAGAGTAGCCCAACAGTTGGCGGTGAATGGTGATGACTAGCTACCTTCCTTCTAGTCTTACACTGCTAAATTAGGGATGGCTAGCGCAAATAGCCCTCGTGTAGCTTTGCGCGAAATTCAAAACGAAACAAAAAATATTGTTTGTTTTTACGTAGGAAGTGTGATGTTACTAAAAATTGATCTTTTTTTGGGAAAGGTATATAACAATCTTCTTCGACACAGTATATTCATAGACTCATATTTTAAATATGTATTCAGATAGAAGATTTAGAATTTCCGAAACAAAAATATCCCTTATACTTAATGGTATCGAGAAATAAAGGAATATGAATCAACTTAGAGCACAGGGACCATCCAGAAAGAGACCTACAACAAATCGTATTCAAGCCGTAATAGTCAAAGTGTGATATCTTGTAACAGGTGAGAACCAACTAACACAGAGATCAGTGGCAAAAGCCATACACATACCCAAAGCATCAGTGTGCAACATAATCAAGACGTATCTCTGTCTGCAAAAGCGACACAAGTCACATGTGCATAAAATGCTTACACAACGTATCCGTTCAATCATTGTATACCTCAATAAGATGGAGAATAAAATGGGTATTTATGCTATTCCACACGAAGACAAACCGGTCAAGTCGCTTAAAGCTGCACCTGCGGATTTTTGTGCGATAGGATTGTTGAAGAGGGCGCTGGGGAACCGTCGTCATTGTACACTAGATGTATTACGAAAAGCAGGTAGGGAGGAGTTGTGTTTTGCGGACTTGACAGCTTTGCGACGGAGCCTTTTGCAATGGAAACTTCTACAGAGCTACTGTTCAGATGCGCGGTCGTCAGATATAGCTTGACAGAACATGACGACATGGATAGTAGCGACGTTGTGGGGCTACAAAACTGTTTTAATATAACGTGCTCAACCTCTGATTTGGTTTATTTTATCTAAATTGTACTTACATTAACACAACGCTTGTGTGTGTGTTTATATATATATATATAGATATAAACGTTTGTGTCTGTACGTTTAACGTTTTATGTATAAAACAATGAAACTTCTGTATTCAAGAAATTTCAAAAAATTCACCATATCATTGTGTCAGTGTGAGAATAAAACAGAAAAACGCGTATATGAATTATTCTAGAATTTTATTAATAATTTCATTATAATGAAAAAAAACGGAGACGTAAATCAAAATGTGCCCCCCAGTGACACAGCGGTATGTCTGCGGACTTACAACGCTAGAAACCGGGTTTCGATACCCGTGGTGGGCAGAGCACAGATAGCCCTTGTGTAGCTTTGTGCATAATTAAAAACAGACAGACAAACAGACAGTAACTGCAAAGCTGTACAGTGGGTTGTTTGCATTGTACCCATCACAAGGGTTGAACACCGAATTTTAACGTTATAAGACCTCAAACTTAAAGTCGAGATAACGGCGGAGGGTGGGGTGGCACCGAATTAGAAATACAAAACCTCACGAGTTGCAGTTACTATATGGGTTGTGTGTAATAGCATCGTACTGATGAAAACGAGAACGTACATGAATATCGATTTTTTTCTCTCTGTTTCTCAACAGCTTTATTGATCGACTCCTAGCATGCAGTAAAATTACACGTTTCATTTTGTTTATTTCACATCAGATAGTTTTAATAAAAATACATGTTTTTCTCTACACAACTAAACTAGCGACTTCGCATTTTAATTGTTACGTATTGTGACGTTTTATCTGTTAACTTAATAACCCCCCCACCTAAGTGAACGTATTTAATATTTTCAATTTCGAATATTAAATGTTACTTGCTCTATTATTTGAAAAGATACCTTCGTGTTGATCTAGTTATATGTGATAGTTTATTTAATCATATCGATTGGTAGTTATAGTTTAGGAAAATATAAATCAAGTATATGCGATAGCCATGTTGTTAGTGTAATATAATTAAAATTAGACATCCTAATCTTAAGATATAACAAACTGTTAATCTAATTGCTGTTCAGATACCAACTTAGTGAAATCTTTATTTTAGAATACATGTTTTAGTCAAAGAATAAAATGAAATCAAAATAATAAATGAATTAAAGTTCAACGTTTTAGCTTTCTTATTCAATTACAATAAAAGTAATTAAAATAAAACTATTATGTCTTATGGTGTAAACGAAGCACGAGTTGTTAATTGTTGTATGGTGAAGTTGAACTATAATAAGACTGATAACAATTTTAATGACATCCTTCTTTATTGGTCCAATACAGGTTTATAATAGGATGGGTGTATATCAGCATTTGTACTAACGCTGTCTGTTAAACACGCCACTGCCGACAAGGAATTTTCTCTGAAATGAATGATTCTGGTATTGAGACGTGCAGGTGCAACAAACACAGTAGCTGAAATGCTATTGTACTCTCTTCTTACTGAAAACTCATAATCAGCTAGTAAATAATATGAATGAAACTGTTATCAGTCTTATTGTGACATAATTTTGTTAATGGAGATTGAACAACACACGCGACTTTTCTATCTATGGTAGAAGTATGTGAGAACACTAATTTTATTTACTTATCTATAACAGATACTGTAGCAGATAAATGCAAAATTCACATTCCAGGTATATATATATATATATAATATTGTATTAAATAACTTTTTTTTTGTAACATGACTATACAAGATGCTTTTATTTTTATCTGTAACACTATTAGGTAAACTTTTGCTTTATTCATTTAATTTTTTCTAGCTTCATAATTAAGAAAAAGTTTGCCATTTCGAATCTTGTGATTTGACCGGAAATAGATGACAATGGGATTTGGGTGCTCGTGTAATTTAGAGGCAATTCTATTTTTTGATGGTATATAAAAAAAATCTGTTTAAAATACAATGAACGGCTTTTGGAAAAACAACAGTAGGATATTTTGTGTGCTGGATAAGCTTTGTAATATTTTTGTTAACTTTTACGTTTGTTTCCAAGACATCATATATTTTTCTGTTCAACTCGATAACTGTTCTCCAAATAACGTTTTGTCACCCTGAACTGGTAAATCGTTGCACTGAAAAATGTGTTCTGCAAGTAACGTTTTGTCAAACTAAACTGGTAAATCGTTTCGCTGAACAATGTGTTCTGCAAGTAACGTTTTGTCAAACTAAACTGGTAAATCGTTTCGCTGAACAATGTG